CAACCCTATTTAAGAAAAACAGTAAAAAAAAAAAAAAAAGAAAAGAAAAAACAACAAAACCAAAACCCTGCCACTAGTGAAACAAATGCATGTTTCACTTCTTCAAACAAGCAACTCACAGTAATTACGGCACCAGGTTCAGTGCAGCCGATTTTGCAATATGCTTGGCAGTGTCATCCACCTAGAAATACATGTTTTCTCTTCCTTTTACCCTACTGTTTTCGGCTTTCTTCCAAATGCATGTATCTATCAGAAATATCAAAAGATCTGCGTGGATTCACGGTGCTTTTGAATAAAAGGCAAAAGCAAGACTATGATTTCACTCCTGTGTATTTAAATCCACGAAATAAAATGAGGTGTGGCCACGGCGATTATGCCCAGTATTCATATTTATCTACTGCTAAGTGAGGAAGTGCCTCATCTGAAGACACTTCCACCTGGAGAAGCAGGAGTGGCAGCTCCAAGCACTACCCTGGGAAAACTAACAGCATCACATCTGTTTTCCACAAATACAAATAAAGCATTAAACAGCTCCACGAGAATAAAGGCTTGTTGGCTTCTGGTATGGTGGCCCATGCCAAGATGGTTTAAAACCTCTTGTCACACCAGGCACCGCACGGCCGTGTAGCTGCTCTCAAGCAGCCCTTGGCTGCTCTCATCAGTGAGAAAAAACAAGGTGAGAACATACTCTCCCTAGAAAGGACGGGTGTTTAAGCACTGCTTTAGAAGAGACATCCCCAGCGCTGAACAACAACTGTAGGTACATTTTGTATGGCCTGATAAACCTGGCTGTGTGATAGTAGAAATATATATAGATATATATTGCAAGTTTTTTGAAGCACCACCATGACTGACACAAAGTTCCATTTGGAAGAAAGTCAACAATTAATCGTGATTCCTCCAAATTTGGAGGCAATTTTTGTAGAACAAGAAAGACAGAGGTATCAGTGAGTCCTGAACATTCCTCTGGGACAAAAATCTATTATTTCATATAAGTCCATTAAAACACTTCATATAGCCCTTTTAATCCCTCTTAGTGGCTTTGCTTTATCACAGACAGAGGAGCTAATCCTCTCCCACTTGTCGTTATGATATGGAACCATAAGGAGGGGCGAGATGCTCCTCATTTGCTAAGCATTATCCCGCTTGGGATAACACTGTCACTGATGCTAGAATTACCATAACAGAGCTTTCTTTCAAAGCAACTCAGCACTCCCAAATGCTCCGCCTAGCTCTGTGTTCCTCCCGTGGGGAATCTGAAATCTTCTTTGCCATCCATTTCCAAAACTCATCTCTTCCTACAAGTTTCACGACACTCTTTAAAGCTCACATTTGGACTCTGGCTTGCAGAAACTTCCTCCTTGCTCTCCATCTCAGGCCTTACGTGGGCCATTTTGGAAGTCTACTGTGCCTACATGACTAGAGGGCAGACTTGCTCAGATCCATCAAGACTGATACAACTAGGCTAGCAGGTCAGCTGAACTTCCCTACTTACTGTGCTGCCATTTCATGCTGGGTATTTTTTCAAAACGAAATCTCCAAGCCACCTAAAATCAGTTACCTAAATAATCTGTTTTAATGGCAGCCGGGCCCTTTACACTTTGGCTCTGCACAGATATGCAGAAAGCACCTTGAGCTGCCCATTGACAAAGTCTGGGCTCAAGAACTGAGATCCTCACTTCCGTCTCCTAATCCTTGAAAATCCCATTAGCATTTGGCAAACCTACCCATCCCCCTAGAACAAAACACAGTTCCTCTGGGCAATCATTACCCGTGCTACTTATTTTCAGTGTTGCCAAGTACTGCGTAGTATCAGAAGAAGCAGAATCGCAAGGGCTACCAAGGGCACATTTAATGTAGAAGACCGCGGGAGAATTATGCCTGCCCGTTCAGACTGGGGAGGGCTTTTCCACACACCTGTTGGCTCGCTCAGCTCTTTTCCCCTAGAAATGCCTTTCTCCACCTTTGTGTCATCCTACATCCACAAAATCCATCAATCCCAAGAAGCCACAGTCATTTCCATAAGCAAGAGACACAACCTCCAAACAGCAAAAAACCACTGCTCTCCCTCCTCTGCTGTTGCGTAGAGAGCTGGGGCAACGTACGATCTCGCTTCATGCGAACCGGAGCTATTAGCTTTGAATTTCTGTGTGAGAGAAGAGATCGTTAACAGTAAATCTGCCTCACGAGAAACTGAAATATTATTCCTCTAGTTAGTAAAAAGAGCATTAATTAATCTGACTCACTGGAACAGGTGCTTTTTTGTTAAGAAATCTGAAACAGTGTGCACAGGCTAGCGTGACACTGCTAAGAGTGGAAGAAATTAACTGGGGGGCAGAATAGATGTGGGTCCTGCGGGTTTTTCCCACTTCTGTTAAGAAACAAACCAAAGCAGGAAACAAGCGCATCAGCTGCCTGGAAAGAGAGCGGGCAGCAGTATAAATAGGATTTCCTGAAGAAGAGCAACTCGCAGCCCCCATAGCCACCTCGGCCAAGGCGCAGCTGGGCGGTCGGCAGCTCCGGGGAAGCAGTTGCCCCGCTGCTGCCCTGGCCCGGGCCCCGGCACACGCGCCGGCGCGTCGGCCTGCTTGGGCTTCAGCACACGCGCAGTGAACCTTGGAAAGTACATTTTACATATATACACGTAGACGCAAACATACGCTGCCACCTGACAAATTTCCTAGCCTGTAAACTGGTAGCCTTTGGACCTAGAACTCAACTGGGAGAGTGCTCCTGGCAGCCGTGATGGAGGCAACCAGGAGAGTCCAGCCTGTTCACATCACCCACACACCACGGGCTAGCACGGCCCCAGCGCGGCAGCTCAAAGCAGTGAGACATCAAAACACACACGTGAGATGCAGTGAGCTACCACCGTGCTGGTAGAGCAGAGTTTCTCTAGAACCACTAGAACTCTGCGTAGAGTGCATCCATTTAATAAGCATGTTACTTGATAAAAGCTGTGCTGGTAAGCCTTGACCCACAGGAAAGGAAGAACAAGACTTCCCCATTCATTCTAATGAACAGCTTTTTGGCTGAGTATGTCTTCAATAACCACAAGTAGCTGTGACACTAAGGTCACTCACCCTTCAGAGCCTTTACATTAAAGGCAGAAAGTAGCCCCTGTTAACACCAGGGAAACATATGGAGAAGAAAAAAATCCACCAAAAACAGGCACCCAGACACACCTTTATAAGCACCAACCTCCAAAGGCAGCAAACTACAGCAACAGAGCCATTACTTTTCAGCCTGCCTCTTGCCTTTTATTCAGATTTGCACTCAGTAGGTTCATTGCTTCAGTAGGTGTACAACTTAACTAGCCAAGATGCTATATATAGGAAACTGAAAATAAAATTCACATGTTAATTTGGTATTCTTTAGGAAACAACTGCTTCAAGTTAAGGCTGCTTCCTCCTCCTCCTCCACAGCTGTATTTGCAAACACTTTGGTTAAAAAAAAAAAAAATAGGGCCTACATCTCTTGGCACTTTCAACCCTCTTAACCCCAGTGCATACATTCAATTGCATATACTAGACCAGTGGTTTCAAAGTATAGATAGGAAGCTGTTTGCTACCTAACAAATGACAAGAGAGAAAAAAAAATAACCAAACTCTTCGCAATATGCAGCTCAAAACCTGTCAGTATAATGAAGAACTCAAGAGCCATTTTCATTAATTAATATATTTTCTGCATTATAGTTAACATATGTACTTTCTTCGTGTCATTCTTATTTCGTTAAGTATTGATATTTTGTTATATTCAGACAAGAGTACATTTTCAAAGTCTTTTGCAATAAATATCATAAAATAATAGAGATTCACATAATAAATATTCTTTACAATAAAAAAAGTTTTAACAGACTTTTGTCTTAAAAATAGTCAGAATTCAACTTTGTGTTTTATACATAAAATATACAAAAAAGGACCACAATCCGTGGCTAAGGCAATAAAACAGAGAACAGAATAAAATTATAAAGTACAGAGCAGAGCTAAACTCACTAAACCCAAAGGATCACAAGAAACATCTAGGCAACTTAATGACACCTGAAGACTGCGTGGATATATGGACACCACCAACTTTAATGTCGACATGATACCGAGGGACGCTAGAAAGGAACAAGAGGATGGAGTGAGCCATATCCTTCAAAGATTTGACAGCCGTAAGTGAGTAGGTTGCAGCCATAACGTCTCCAATGTGAAGATCTACATAGTGAAGCAAAAAATGAAAAAACATTAAAAGTAAAAAAGGGGCAGGCACGGGAGGAGCAATCAGGTACAGCTCAGGACTGAGACCATTCCAAAGGCTAGGACAAAACAGGAGGGGGAAAAAATAATAATAATAATAATAAA